CTAACCTCTAAACCACTGAGCCAGCATCTGACGGTGTTAATGTCTGATTTTAGTCAATCCACCACCAGTGTTTCCAGGTTTTCCATGATAGTCTAGCTTCAATTGACTCATGATCTCAACTATAGAAATAAGTTAACTGACGTTCCGAAAACCTTAATTCAGAAAATTTAAGATATATTAGTCTTAATTCCCTGAAAATACTTCTCACTGGTTCCTATACACTTACTTTATATTCATTCTCATTACCTAAAATCTCCCTTGAAGTCCTCGCAAATCAAGCTCTTCAGACATTCATTGTTCTTCTCACTTTTAGTAGATCCTCAATATTTTGACGGAAAAATGTGCACAGGTGCTTTTTCTGAATCCAGTTAATCAGCAGTCATGTGGATAGTGAATAGTTGGACAGAACATACAAAAAAAACCGCACTAGTTTCGACATTTTCATCAACATATGATACTGAACGTCATCACTGTATCAGTTATTGAGTTTTGACTACTCCCACTGAAACGTTTGATTCATCTAAAAAAAACTGATTTCTTCAATAGATTACCTCCATGAATAACCCTCTACATTTCATGAATCTGGAGGGAGGCTACAAGTGTCAGCTTGACCTTGAGGCCCTCACAAATCATTTGTTGATACATAAACTCATCAGAAAATATTTTCTGATGTCTATTTGGCCAGATTATATGGATCTTTAAAGCGGTACGATGAATAATGTAATATACTAGTTCTTATGAGGAAGTGTGGGAAAACATTCGTTTAGTTATTTGACTAGTTATTTCAAATGTGTACTTCACAAATCTTCAGTGTCTGTTTTAAAATAAAATCAAACGCAACAGATGAAAGCAACAAAGTTTTCAGATTGGGTAGATTTCTACATTAATAGTTGTCAGGTGAACAGTGTACACAACAACTGTGTATCATATGGGTTTCCTCTCAGAACATACAGTTACCAAGTAAACATTAGGTTCTATATGTGGATACCATTTGTTTATACTTACTGATTCGATGAGCTGTTTTCTCGGTAAAAATAAACTCTGGTGATAACGTTGAGTGAAGTAATCAGATTTGGAATAATACCGCTGGGATCTTTGCGTAATATTCAAAGCCCAAGGTAAGGCAGCATGTATTTTATTAGGAACTAAGTAAAAAAACATCTTTATCTAATCTCCAAAATGCTTAGAATTAATAAAAATCTCTTTTCTGGAGCTAAACAGTAAATGTGACTTGATTTCTCAGTTAAATTGTTAGAAATACCTGCTCCTCATGAGGTTTTTTATATTAGATTGTTTGATGTGATTCAGTTCATAGTCAAGAGTTGTTGTATCGATAGAAAGTATTTTAATGCTCTTGACCATAACATTCCTAACCATAATTTAACTACTGGCCAAACTCCTAATACCTAACTCTAACCCTTTCTCATTTATTTCAATAAATAATTCAACATTTAAGGTTTCGTTACTCGCGTCAAAACTATTTATCCACTGAAATTTTGCCACTTTTATTGTCAACTGTTTCACTACTAACCACTGTTTTCTGACTGACTGGTAAATCGCTCAAGTTCGTCAATATAGTGTAGTTTTACCGTTTTCTCTCTTGTTTTATGTTTGTTTTAGTGTTTTCAAACACTGATTTTTTTACTATGTTTGTCTAAAGTCACCTTGTATACATAAACAATACATATAATTTCAACATAAAGTTTCATATGTAAGCACTCAACAAATTACCTTTTCATGATTTTGAATTAAAACCTCTTCTGATATTAATCAAACTGTGGTCACTAGTGACCGATCTCCAGAGGTAGCTCCTGGAGTTCTAGTGAGAAGCAATGACCAGTGGGGTTCAACCGGGTCAGTTGTGAGATAGTAACTCACTGAAGACAATGGTGGATGTGCCGCTCAATTTCGTGGATTAGTTGAAGTTAGACATTAACACCCGGCTCAGTGGTCTAACGGTTAAGCGCTCGTGCATGAGACTGATAGGTCCTGGGTTGGAATCTCGCGAATCGGAATCGTGGATGAGCACTACTGATTAGTTTCACAGTAGGATGAAACGGCAGTCCAGTGCTTCCAGTTAAGCAAATGTATTATATTGAAAAGTATGAACCAACAACATACACTGTTGCTCACCTTCAATGATTTATATCTCATGAATATCAAAGGGCAACAACTAGCCAGTGACTGTGAAGAATTATTATTTGGTCAAAGTATAGTCCTTCATTAATGTATTTTAATGTAGATAGGAATGACAGCGGAAAAACAAGTGAATAGTTCATATTGACTGTTCTATCTAACTGGATTGTAAATCACAAGAACTATTTAAACGTCTGGGTTGAAATCCAAATCAGAGAAATTTCATCCTTCTCTGTCAATAACTTGAAATGTTCGATTCAAACTAATCTGTTTTTTAAAAGTAACCATAAAATCTATCAAATGTAAGGTTGAAATGAAGTATTTATAACTGGGTTTTTGTAGACTGGTATAGGTTTAAAAGGTTACAAGAAAGTATTGTAAATGTATAGTGCTTAGATTTTATATTGTGATAATTATATAGCGAGAAATGATGTTTGCTTTCTAAAATGTATCATTTTTGTTAAATCTTATTAGTTCATCCGATAACAATAGAAGGGGATATCCTTATCGAGTAAAGGATATAACCGCATGAATGCCAGTCAGAATTTACACAATTAATATCTTTATCTTAACTAAGATTTTAAGTGGCCACTAATAATGAGATTAAAACAACTATCCATTATTCTCTGGTTTACAACAACTCTGCTGTTAATTTCAGGTTATGGTAAAAATGAGACCTAAATTCCCAGAATTCAAGCTAAAAATATATATCGGCAATTTATCAAACCACAATCAATGACAACGAATATATTGATGCTTTTATAATAAAAGTTCAACGCCTTTTAGTTTTTAAATACAACCTCCTGCAAACATACACATAATTATAGATGATATTTGCGACATCTTGAGTTGAATGAGAGCATGTGAAATTTGTTTCATCGTAGTAGAAGACTCATCATCAATCTGGACCCACGACCCAACCAGAGATTTGACTCAAGATCATTAGATCTCATAGCCAGAGAGTAATTATGAAAACTATGATTTGACGACCGTTGTTCCCTAATTTTCAACGATATCCTAAGTGAGGTAGATCCACCACGATTACAATCTACAGATATAAATAATCTCCACTAACCCCCTGAATCCAAGCCACATACATATTGTCATGAAAAATCTTCATTCCAAACTTAGTTTTGACCATTGATCAATTCTGAGAAGCGAGAAACCTAGATAACTCGCTAAAGTTATTTTTCATCGTTTGAGATTTCACAAAAATACATGTACACAATCTTACATTTGATAAAATTGAGAAAACTAATAAGAATTGCAATACCTTCATACCACTGAGCCCGAATTCAATGATTTATGTACAAAATTTCAGTCAATGCACTTTATTGGTTGTTTAATACAATATGAAGGTCTGATTGAATGTAACTTCTTTGAAAGACAATGACGATTATTAGACTGATAGCTCTCTGACAAGATCTATTCTGTTTGTGCTTGCAGTCTTAAACGTCAATGGAAGATATAAGCAAAACAATACCAAGTGAATTTAAATTCACGTCCAAATAGGATGAAACGTGCGTCCTGGATTCCACTGTTAGTCACTATCCATCTTTGCTTAAATTAATAACATTAATGTATATATTACTCATAAAATATTCATCAGTTGATTAACCGATATCCATAGCTTTAGAAATTTATTTATATTAGAGTTTATTGGTTAACTACAATATTGACCTTCTTTATCAAATCAATCTGATTGGGAGCTTTGACTATATGAATTGAGAAATAGTTATTTTAATCTCTACATTCTTAATTGATATAGGATAATGTATATATTTGATCTTGGTAATAAATATTGATGAATTTTATTAGTTTTCTAGTTGGTTTTATATGAGTTACACTTAAATGATTATAATAATCCTATCACAGATCAATTCAGTCTTAGTTAACATGGCAAGTGAATATTCCAATAAGAATTTATCATTTTTTCTCATTTGGCAATTTTCCATATGAAGCCATAATAAGTATATACAACTTGATTCCGACTCATACATATCCACTTGACGACAAAACGAAAAAAACCAAAACATAAATGTTATAATTTTATTTTTCATTAATATATATTTTAAACATGTTTGTTTAACCATGATTATTGTTAATAATAACTATATTTCTTTATTATATTCCAATGGATAGAAAAAATTGTATTTCTAATGTTTCTTGACTTAATGTAATCCACTTCTATAAATTAAATAAATAACCGAATCAAATTAATACAAGTTTAAATAGTACAAAAGAAACAATGGTGATTATTGTTCTATTCATCGTAATATGACACTGGTTACCAATTATCTGTGAGATCCATGGTTGAAGTTTACATTTTAAGAAATTCCTACCCTTATGCAGATTTTATTATGTTTTTGTATTTGAATCTTCTTATTGTTGGTATTAATGACTGGATTGTAATGAGTCTTTTTTGGCATATGTGTTTCATGAGCGGATTGTTTCGATAAGTGGAAAATAATCAATTAAGATCGATAGTGGCTAGCAATGGAATCGAAGGCTTGTAATTAACGATTTGGAGAGAATTTATATTGTTATAGTTTCGTAAATTTTATACTACAAGTCAAAATAAAACAATTTTCCACAACAAACAGATAGTGATTACTCAACAAATAGGACAGAAAATCATGCGAATATTAAAATGTATTATGGTATTTGTACGAACTAATGATTCCTTTGTACTCGGTTAACGACTTATTACGAATTCCAAATACAATATGTTCGTTTGTGCTCGCCTAGTTCTATCTAGCTTAAATTGCGCTTTTTCGGGAATTCCTAGTTAGTATGTTAATTCAAATACTTCTAATCATCATATATACGTATGCAAAGCTATACTGGAAATTGATACAGCTAATATGGAGAAGGTTCCTGATGGTCGGTAAGACGAATTTTCGAATGTTAGAATGAATGAATAGAATGCTGATAGGTGATTGAAGGATATTATTGTATAGGTCACTTATTCTCCAATTAATTAACACCTGGGTGTTGAGCATATTCTTCTGGCATCATATCAATAACTTAACTTGAACTTAAAAAACTATACTGTATTAAAGTGTAATAAGTTATGTTCGGATTAACACTATATCTATTTGCCAAATCCTAGCACATAACATAAAATTAATGTAGATAGAAATGCTTCACGTTGCTTAGCTTTGTATTCTGTTAACTAATCTGTCATCTGTAGTCACGTCATTGGCTGTCGTTCACTATTAATCGTTTTACCCAGTAAACGGGCGTTTTAGTTAGTGAAACTAACTTCATAATATTAAATAATATCATTCGGATGAATCAACAATTTTGTATTAATTTGTTCTATTCTCAACGGTGTTCACAACTTTTGTCTCCCTTTCTGTGTCGAAATTGTACAGACGTCTTGTTTTTAAAATTTAAGTATAAAAATGCCAGTCACCGGGGAAAAATAAATGATAACTGTCTGTTTCCTTGTTAATCACCTATTCAATATAAAGTAAATTATATTAATTAATTTAGTATTTGGTTTATTTTCAGTTTACTAGTATTAATTCATTTTACTACACACATTACAATCAAACTTATTTAAACAGTTGTTAGCCATTCTAATTGGGTAATATGTTTAATTAATGTCAGCATTTGTTAGCATTTCACTTTCGATTGATGATACATGCTGCTTTTATCTGTTGACATCAGTAGCACACACAACATTAGTAGACGTTTTGTCCTTATGGACGAGAACTGGTAATAATGGCAATCTACAGAAAGTTGAATTCAGATCTGGAGACATTTTATGGATATAGAAGTCTATAAACGCTCGCCATTGGACTTAAAGTTTGATTTATTATATGTATATCAATATATAGTTAAGAAAAACATTTTCTGGTCCTCGAGTTCTATTCCCGCCTCCCAGTATAGCAATAATAAAATTGTTTGACATAAAAGTAAACCATTTTTGAGACTGAGTTCATTATCGTTATATTTTCTATTTTACGTCCAGTAAGCTATAAAGTGAAATAATTGACACTTTAGGTCAAGAGACTCTGTGAAATGATTTTCCACACAAATCAATATTTTCAGCTTAAAAGTTTGATGAATTAGGAAAAACACATCTATTGTCTTACAGTAAGACAAGATGATTAGAATAAAGCAAGCTGATATTTAGTAAAAAATGGACATCATCAGTATCTTATTGTAATGGGATTAGTGTTCTGATTGATTCTGTTTTACATGGACTACTAAACGCTTAACCGTTTTGGAATTCATACAAAGCGTGCTGCTGTTCAAAGAGTGACTTGTAATCCTTATTTCAGATAATCTTGTGGATCTAAATCTAAAGTAAATAGACGTCTGGGACGTTCATTAGTCACATTCCCCATATATATATATATATATATATATATATATATATATATATATATATATATATATATATATATATATATATACTTGCCGAAATACAATTTTCAGCATTGCTTATTGAGAATGACTATGTTACAATTCAAAATGTTAAAATATGAAGTTAGACTTGAGAATAATTCTAGAAAATTGTTTGTTTGCGATCTGATTAATAATCATATCTTGACGGTAAATTGGAATGTTATTTTGTTGGATCAATAATTTAGAAGACAGTTTCCATAAATGATCAGTCTCCGACAGTAAACGATCTTCAACTGGTTCAATAGGTCTTTTTTGATTGATAATGCAGCTAAGCCAACTCTCGTTAATAACGTACACCAAAAGACCAATTACATGGATTTAGTGGAGGGATTTGTGTCCAGCATACTCCGGTAACGAATCAATTTTAAGCAAGAAAGTTAGTACAAAATTGTGTTGATAGTGTTCAGTCAGTCGTGAAGCATACAAATAAGGCATCAGAAATGTGTCTTTTGAACTTTCAAAAATATCTTCATTCATGCATTTAACAAGCATAATACGACGGGATTAAAGGTTTCTAACACAGAATAATTAGCTTGTAGTGACTCACGTTTATCACGAGAACACGACTGGTTTAATAAAAACAATTATTATTATAACCAACTGTACCAGTGTTTGTTTTAACGTGCTTTTGTTTGACTGTGCTAATGACAGCTTTTTTGTGCTTCCATTCTTTCACTTACACTTCGATTGTAACTTCGCGCGAATTCGGTTACCTTCTGTAACCAAGGTTGTATCCTGGCACGATCTCGGTATCCTTTCGATGCCACGAGATCGCCAGCAAATATAACTCGACTTGGTCCATTAATTGCCTTCTGGTATTCGGCTTCTCGGGATTTTATGGAGTCATTTGGAACGAGCTTCTTACGCCTTCTGATCTATTTGGCACGTGTTTCTTGGTAGCGGTGTTCATAGTTAATCACAACTCGACGCCACGCTACATTGGTATCCCATTGGTGACCCGTATTTTGGAACACGCCTCAACTTCTGATCAAATCTTCCAAAGAAGCCAATTCGGTGAGTCTATGATTTATCTATCCACGTCTGTCGTATATTTTCATATTTTTTAATATATAATATACTCGACATGACGGATAACGATAAGAATAGTATTAATATAATAGACTCACATGTATGTGTACCGAATCCTTGTTACTTTTTATTCGCGTGACGATGAATTCCACGCTTTATTCGAGAAAGTTTCCCCTATTAACTATTCTCCTCGCTGACCCGGCTGCTTGGTACGGAATGCATACGCATAAGCATATCTGTCTACCACCCAGCACCAAATGGTTAAGTAAACGGTTTCACTGCCAACTTAAAAGTGCTATACGAGCACACGAAAACGGCAACTGGCACGAAACCTTACCGCTCGTTCTTTTAGGGATCACAACGAGCTTGAAGGCAGATATACAATGTTCCGCCGCTGAACTGGTATTCGGCACGACATTGCGTCTGCCCGGAGAATTCTTCACACCACGGAGCAGACCTAATTTCGGTAAATCAGACTACGTCCATCGACTGTCTGCATTTATGCGAACGCTGTCTCCGGTGTCAACTCGAATACAACATCGACAGGTCGCTCTCCCTCGAGAGTTATCTACCTGTTCACATGTTTTCATACGAGTAGATTCGGTACGCAAACCTTGGCAACAACCTTACGAAGGCCCTTTTCACGTGATCGCTCGTCACGAAAAGACCTTCAAGGTTGATCGATATGGACGCGTCGAGATCGTCAGCATTGATCGTCTCAAACCAGCACACGTCGATGACAGTGCCCTATCTGATAACCTGAGATTCAATGCTAGACCTAGCAAACCTACTAGCGGGATCCTCAAACCATCTTCAGGTCCCACGCTAGATACATCTGAGACCTCATTCTCACGTCCCAGTCAACAGCACGCGTCATCTGCACCGTCTACGGATGAGACGACAGTCTCACGTCCAGATCAGCAGACCACGCCGCCCTTGACTTCGGATGAGATTGCAGGCTCACGCGACGCGAACGAGACTACCGTCTCACGTTCCGGTCGCCGAGTACGGTTACCCGTACGCTTCCGCGACTAGCCGCACAGTTAACAACCGATACGGTGTAGGATTATTCCTATACTACACGCATGCTACACTCTTCTTTTTTTGATTTTCTTTTTGTTTCCTGAGCCCACGCCTTCGACCATCTCCGTTTGGTTCCGTCGACTTCAGTCAACTTTGGCGAAAGCTGGCCTGATCACCCACGCTCTTGTCAACGTACTCAGTCGATATATTGGTTTCGAATGCTTGGCATACGCTTGGTCTCGAACTTGGTCGTTATGGTCGCTTCTGGTTCATCGGCTCAACGTGGTTTCGTCCTACGTCTGCAGCGTTTCTGGTCCGCACCCTACGAACGCCATCTTCAGATTCTGGATACAAACCACTCTGGTGTAGCATGCCAACTCAAGCAATAAATACAACACATCGCTCCTGGTACCGTTCTCCGAAAACGACCTTCGTTGGCAACTCGACGATCAACGATCGCTTTCCTGTTCGCCAATTCTTCCGTCCTACAATCGCTCGTCAGCCGATCAGTCCCACGATTCAAACCGCTATTTATCGAAAGTGTAAACCCTTTCTAGCGGGGGGCTCCTGTAGTGACTCACATTTATCACGAGAACACGACTGGTTTAATAAAAACAATTATTATTATAACCAACTGTACCAGTGTTTGTTTTAACGTGCTTTTGTTTGACTGTGCTAATGACAGCTTTTTTGTGCTTCCATTCTTTAACTTACACTTCGATTGTAACTTCGCGCGAATTCGGTTACCTTCTGTAACCAAGGTTGTATCCTGGCACGATCTCGGTATCCTTTCGATGCCACGAGATCGCCAGCAAATATAACTCGACTTGGTCCATTAATTGCCTTCTGGTATTCGGCTTCTCGGGATTTTATGGAGTCATTTGGAACGAGCTTCTTACGCCTTCTGATCTATTTGGCACGTGTTTCTTGGTAGCGGTGTTCATAGTTAATCACAACTCGACGCCACGCTACAAGCTTAAGTAAGCGCTTAGAATAACAAGAATTGCTTACCAGCACTACGCTACTGCGAACTACATTTTAATTGACCAAATAAACAACAAATATTGACAAGATAAATCTTAAATCGACTAAAATATACTTCCTCATACATCAATATTTATGAATTACTACTAAGTTATAACATCTGCGAGATGAGTTTCTATTTCTAATTTAACGTGAATAGACTTACTTATCTTAGTACCAATACTATGATTATCAGTTTGACTATTCTAAGTAAATTACGGTTGTGAATATTGTTGTCACACACTGTTTTTTGTATATTGTTATAGAGAATCTATAATTAGATAATAATTAACATTACGCAGAAATATCTATTTAATCTAATTTAACTGCACAACCTTGAAAACTGGTGATTATATAGTTATCAGTGTAAGGGTACCAGTGCGCTGAATTAAGTAGTGTATCTTGTTTCTTTACAGCTCGTTTCTATATTATCATGGATCTAAAATATCTGCTAGATACATTTACAGCGTATGCTTCTCAGTGCTATATTGGTCAATCGTTCGCTATTATCTTGAAATATATTCCATATTTTAAAATTACCAGTCTTCGCTCATAATTGTAGACTTACTTTTGGACTTATCAAACGCACGACCATTGAGTTTTACAAGCAACGTCTGTAAAACCAGTGTGTTTGTTTTGCGAAGTATTGACTCATTTTCCCCACTCTTTTTTGTAAATAGCATTGTAGCGGAGCAGAACACAGGTGAGGATCAATCGAAAATGAAATGCCTGGTACAGAACGTTAAGAAGATCGAGGGTAAGAGAACGAGGACAGAGAAGGATTGGTGTGGAAACGTAGGAACAACCAAGTCTGAGACAATTGATTGACATTTTGCAAATAAAGAACCTACTGTATGGCTTTCAAATGTAGATTAAAAGTCGGAGAACGATCACACTGACAGGTCATATATCTTCAAAAAATTCAAGGAGAGTGAGAGCTCGGATCTCTCTTTGAGCGAGACAATAAGTTGCCAAAATGTCAAACAAACTAGCTAGTGTCTCCACATATCTTCAGGGTCACCTTGCTAAAGTTTCATAGACTAGATAACCAGACAGACTTTAAATCAAATAAAATCAGTCTGCTAAAAAGCAGCATTTAGATTTTGCAATAAAAGCGACTAATTACTACTGAATGGACAATGAATAAATGGAGTACTCAGACTCCAAAATGTGTTGCACACTGACCTCAGGATAAAGTGAGTTGATAAAGAAATGGAGCTAGGATTTCATGATTGTTATAAGGCTGTAGTGGTTTTGGTTTCTAACCACACAATCTTCGAAGCTGAACATATAATTATTGAGAACATTTGTAGTGAATTACTTTTATCACGAGAACGCGATGGGTTTAATGAGAACAATGATTATTATAACCAATTTTGCCAGTGATTGTTTTACTGTGCTCTTTATTTAACTGTGCTAAAAACATCCATTATACTTCGATTGTGACCTCGCGCGAATCCGGTTACGCTCAGTAACCAAGCTCGTATCCTGGTACGATCTCGGTATTCTTTCGACACCACGAGATCGCCAGCAAATACATCTCGACTTGGTCCATTGACTGCCTTCTGATATTTGGCTTCCGGGGGGTTTTATGGATATCCTGGCACGCGTTCCTTTGTAGTGGTGTTCATAGTCAATCTCGACTCGACATCACAACACACATTCAATTTGAACACGTAACACTAAGAGTCAGAAAATGGAGAGCGCAGTAACACTCAACCATTCGGCATGACAAGGCTCAAACATGCAGGCGAGGTCAACCTTATGTAACACATATTTTTCCGCATTAAATATATTATATTACCCCCAACCAAAATGTGTTGCTCAGAAGTGCTAAACGCCACATAGTGATTGTCCTTATATGGCACGTCAGTGTAGACAAGGATGTGAATTCCACGAAAGATCTTATAGGAAAGATAGTCACATCATGACAAATCCAAAGGTTTGGGATTAGGAACATTATTATAGCAGTAGATATATACGAAATAGAGCATAATTCCACAGAAATGTCGCAAAAACGAGAAGCTGAAAGATGGACCTGAGGTATAATTGGTAAGAAAAAATTTATAGGAGATTTATGTTACTAAGTAGGGATGAAACCAAGTCTCGGTATCGGAAAGCCAGAAATAATTGTTTCAGCCCCACGTATTTCCAGAGGGGAGTGTGAAGAGAAACTTGTTAAGGATACCACGGGACGTCCAAACTTGTTTTCTCACATTAGTGGAATGAGGAAGAGAGGGGGCGATATCCCAGTGTTGCATGAAGATAGTACTAAGAAATCACCAGTGTGGAACGACTGTGTTAAATCTCGTATTATCGAACTACTTTATCATTATGTACACAGCAGAGACGCCTTTCTTACAGAAATATGTAAATCCTGCAGTCCATACGCTCGATACTGAGGCCACTAAAGAACCCGATATCTATGGTCTGCCAAATAAAAATCCATAGGATTCAATGGGATGAATGGGTATGAACCACAGCCTAAGCGTGAAGGATAATTGATTACCTGGCTCCCCGAAGAAATGAGGTGGTACGAAGCTCAAACCTAGGACTCAGTGAACAAAAATCAAATGCCCCAACAACTGAGGCACTGTTACTGAAGGTACATGCAAATTTTGTGAGTATATGTTTTAGTCTATCTGTAACTCAAGATGAACTACGAAAAGACAGAATGAACTACATAGTATGCCCTGTCTTCAAAACAAGTACAAAGAGCAAACACAAGAACTATCATCCTGCTAGTTTAACCAATGTAGCTGTCAAGACTCTAGAAAACAATACTCTCAAGTAACTGTTTAAGCATTTAGATGAAAACCAGAAAGTATTAGAATAGGTTACCCACGACCACATGTCTAGTGGTCGCGCGAAGAGGTTGCCGGGCTATAAAAGATCAAAAGCTACCCGTAGGTGTAGCCTTTACTGACTTCAGTAAGGCTTTTAACAAAGCTCCGCACAACAGGTTGTTATCCAAGTTTGGTGACATCAGGATAATAAGCAACTCACTTTTGTGGATACGACTTTTTAGTTGGATCCCAAAAAATAGTATGGGTTCACTCTAAGTTGTTTAGGTGAGAAACTGTGCTCGGTGGAGTGCTCTTGAGAAAAGTTTCGCGACTAATATCATACCTTCCTAGTCCCTTGCCGTCATTCGTCTTGGCAGGTACTGACAATATCAAGATATGAAGAGCGGTACGAAATAAAAGGGACAGTTCGGAGTTTCGAATTGACTTACAGAATCTATCTGGATGATCTGGAATTTGGTAATTGCCGATAATTACTTTCAAGTTCGTTATGATGCATATCGGTCAGTATTTGTTTGACCTGAACTCGAGTACTGACAAGCTACAAGTATGTATTCTTCTCGCACAAGGACTGAAACTGAATTAAGTGTAATAAACACTTCGATTAGTCAGTACAACTGAATCGAATAAACAGACATACGCGTAATGACATGACAGAAACATTGGATATAAAAAACATCCAAAAACAATACAAGTCTACATCATGATGGAAACTAAATACAACCATTCAGGGGGGTGTTTCACAAATTACTATCAGAACTGAGATCTCATAGATGGTCCTCATTTCTGTACAATATTCATACTCTAAAAACCTGGAAGTAAAATACACACCTGATAAACATTCGTACAGCTTATTATTTTTCTATTCGGTGACAGAGAGTCTAGATTCAAACTAATTTCTTTGTCATACAGAATTATCAAAAGTGACTTGATTACAGTTCTTAAATTACTCATTTACAAATATTCATGCCACGTTCCCTCTTTTTTCAAGTTTCCAAAAACAGGTTATACGGGAAAATTTTAGATACGTTCAGTAACCCAGGACAAATTATTTGTCACCTGACTGCCAACTTTTCCATGAAATGATCTTCAGTTTCAGTTCGGAGAGGACAGGAGGCTCGATAGTCTGTGTTAGTCCTGACAATAGTGGCCGTTTTAGCGTCGACATGACTAAAAGCCCTACATATTGACCATAGGGTTCTAAAACCTTTGGCGGCTATTGCACGGCAGTGTGCAGTAGTCTTTAAGTCTCGGCTAACGATGACTCCTAAGTCAGTATGTGTCTGGACGACAGATAGCTCAGTGCTATTCATCGTGTATGTATCCGTACCTTGATGACCGATATGCATCACAACAAACTTGGAAGTATTTATCAGCAACTGTCAGGTTTCAGACCATTCAGATAATTTCTTCAGGTCAGTTGGAGTGCTATCACCCTCACATCGTATCGTTCTCCATATCTTGACATCGTCAGCATATAGCAAGACCGATGATGATAGGAGACAAGGAAGGTCATTTACATACAAGAAGGATAGCACTGGCCCAAAAACTGTACCCTGGGGCACTCCATTAAGCAAAGTTTACTAGCTAGATAACTTTGAGTTTATCTGTGCTCTTTGTTGGCGCCCAACTAGGAAATGTTTTATACACATCAATAGGCTGCCCCCAATTCCGACATTTCTTAGCTTATATAACAGCAGGTTATGCGGAACTTTGTCAAAAGCTTTGCTGAAATCAACGTAGGCTGCGTCTACAGATAACTTTTGGTCCTTAATAGCGCACCAGCTTTCACAAGCGACTAATAAGTTAATGAGACAAGAATAAACTACTCTAAAACCGTGCTGCTTCTCCGAAAGAATTTGGTTTTCATCGGGGTACTTAAACAGCTCCTTTCGAATAATCTTTCCTAAGATTTTAACAACCACTCTAGTCAGGCTAATGGGTCGGTAATTGTCAGGTTTATGTTTCGTATCTGTTTTGAAGACAGGACTTACTATGGCGTTCTTCCAGTCTTTTGGTAAACGATCTTGCGTTACGGATAATTTAAAGCATATACTTAAAGGGTTCTCAACGAAGTTAGATAATTCCTTCGGTAGCCTAGGATGCAATTCATCGGGCCCCGTGGACTTACCTATGTCAAGCCTATTTAGCAGGCCAAAGACATCGAGTTTTTTAACGTTCATGCTATCCGGTGTATGTGTGGGGGGATTGTATGCGCTGGCAGGAAGTTCGAGAACACTTGAGCCTTACCAAAGTCGTCCTCCAAAGTCCACCTCTGTGAATGAAACTCGTTACTTTGATACATGAATAAATCTCAGTGTCTCGACGCATTCTTATAAAAACTGGATCATTTGAGAGACCATCATTGTCAACGCAAGCAAGCAAGACAAACATGTGTTCCTTCAACACTAAAACTGTGCTTAAGGTTGTCTTAGCGAAAGTGGGAGATTTGAACTGATCTCTACTGTTCTTCGTTCGCGTTGTTACCGCCCTTTTCGTCCCACCTATCTCATCCAATTTGTCAAACTGTTGATGTGAGTATTTTCTCTTGTGTTATTAAGGTTTGTAGCATTAGTCCTTCCTGTGTGGAGGGTGTATTATGTCGTCATGTGGAACTACATAAACAGCGTATCAGTGGTATAATGCACATTGTACCACTAATTACTTTGTGGTACGTACCACAAGGTTTGTTTGTCAGCTAATGAAAACGTGGAAAGACAGTGAATTTGTATTATTCTGCTCAGCTTTTTATTCTATGTTTTTTGGCTCGAATATACATTTAAATCAAATCTAGGGCAATTATCATTTTTGCCAATGAGGAAGCAGATCCAAATATCATTTTCACAATTTTCGGTTGTCATATTTGTGAGTCATCTGGAATACTACGTAACCTCCCTAACTGAAACGTGTGGTTTTCTAACAAAGACCGCTGCTCGAGTTTCGACTTAAAGGTCCAGTCCATAAGGCAGTGGAGCAACGTTCGAAAGTGTCGTCTTGTGACAGCTAGTGGCTAAAATTAAATATATATGCCATTTTTCCCTCATGACCCTAGAGTTCATGAGCACTGTTGACTTGAAATCAAGGTATTCCAACGCCTCCTCCGTACTCCACTAACCCGGTGTAAACTCACGACATTCGATTTTCGTCCCCTTATTCCTGTAAGCAACGCCTCTGCTGCATGTAAGTATCGATTTCGGCTTCTGTGGTAGTGGGCATAAACACATGACCATATAAGAACATTTCGAGATAGAGCGGATTCTCTTCATCTTAACCCGTTTTGGTGTTGAGGGTGGGATCTTACTTAATGTCAAGCCAACGCACAACAAATATTCCGCTAACTTACCCATCAGTTGTAGGAAAATGACTGTTCATCAAGAGTAGCGATAAAATCAGTGTAAAACCTCAAGCTCTCCTTATTCTCTATTGCTTAATTTTCTTAACTTTCGATTTGTCCACTACCAACTGATGTTCTACTACCATGTTTTCTATTTTAGCCTTCCATCCCCATCGAGTGGAGTATCACTGATCTTACACTCAAGCATCTTTGAGGTTGATGTCAATCCTCTCAAAAACTAGGTTTCATATTTGTACCACGACCTTTTAAGTAACACAAGAAATACTTAGATCGAAGTCGTCGATTAATTGTCTTTTGAAAATGGCCAAGAAGAAATCATCACTTGTTATAACTGACTCATCTGCAAATCAAGATTATATTGACGGAAAATTTGATAAAGAACCTTCAGACTTTTGTAATATTTGTCTTCTCATATTTCTCTACATTTTGCAAGTGGGTTTTTTGATTATTTAAAACGTTCTTAGCATACTCGAGTATTCCAAATATTGATTATTATGTAGATTAAGGTTTAAGTGTAGTTTTTTAGATTTTTTGATCGAAGTGTAACTTCCAACATACGTGGTCTCAACTAATTTTTTATAATTTCTGAAGCCAATTACTCTACTAAACGGAATCGCCGTTATTAACAAAACACTAAAAGGCCAACTATCAAGGGTTTTAGGATTATACTTTAAGCACACTGCAGCAGCAGCAGATCAAATTCGAAGTAATCATTTAGATTTTAGAGTGTGTATATAAGTCTCCATTAGTTTATGCACAGAAAAGACTCAAAACTGTACAATCGGTAAGCGCTCGATAAATCATTCAGGGGTGCATCAGATTACGTTGCCCCAGTACTCATGTGATTCAGACAAATCAGTGTATTTTTGTCCTGGTTCCGTAGTCTATTAGGCCCTCAAGTTTCATATTTGTCAGCAAACAGTTTTCGTCCAATCCGCTTGACAATTAACATCCGTCGACCGAAAAATTAACCCAAACGAAGAATAGTTTGCTGTAAATGTCCGGAATTAGTGTGTCAGTTAACACATTTTAGGTCTGCTTAACTTCTCCGTAAACATGTCCGATAAGTCACTATATCGGGTCATCGGATTTCATATACTATCATAGTGTTCGTTTAGCTAAGCGCATCACTTATTTTGTTTTTAAGCGTTTCCTAAGCGTCACTAAACTGAACTAGACAATTCAAAGTATATAGATATATTCTGACCAAAGTTAAAACGTGTTTCTCATTTGCCTAAACATATTCACTTCTAAGTTCATAAAGCGTGTACAGGGAAGTTTCAAAGTATTTTTAAGGTCTAACTGAGATACCATGTTGGCTTTTGAATTTACTAATAGTTTGTGCGGCCTTGTAGCTACCTCCATTCTTCATATCTGGTCTGTAGAAGGGTCGAGACTGACGTTATAGTACCTTAAATTTCAGCAACGGGCTGTTAGTGTTTGCTTGTCTTTACATTTTTATAGTCAATATTTCCCATGTCATTGGTTTTAACTGATCATGTGATATAGATTTTAGAACTAATCAAATATCTTTTTGGTGCGACTTATCTCATTTTTAGGGCATTCCTCTTGGACTGTCGTCTGCAGTCCCTTACTTATTACAATCAGATCCAAAATCGGCTAATTACCAATCACAAGCAGCTTTCTCGTTTGCATTTTGGCCATTTTCACTTAAATTAGCTTGGGCTCCAATAGTAGACTCGTTGTACAGTTCACGTATAGGAAGACGAAAGACTTGGCTTATTCCCGTTCAATATGCTCTTGGAATTAACCTACTTATTATCGCTCTCTATGTTAACCAGTGGTTGGGGCGTACACCTGATAACCCATGGGGCCCATTAGGTGTAGTGCATCCAGTGGATATCTCACGCTTGACTGTAGCTTTCTTTGGACTTACTTTTCTTGCAGCTACACAAGATATTGTAGTAGATGGATGGGCACTTACAATGTTGTCTAGGTGAGTTTATTGTATGACATATCTATGAAAAAGAAGCGATCAGAATAGCTGTTGGATTATATTTATTTTTGTGGAGTTAAAGTTCCTGGTTAGACATTTAGCGAGAAGGTAACAGAGCTGAGAAAAATTTATTTTTAATTATTTTTTCATTATAAGCGTATACTAAAATATATATAATTAGAAAAAAAAAGAAAATAAGGTAATCATAATAACCAGTGTGATCATTTGTAAAAGAAATGAGACATTGATTTGAAATGACCTGAATTATCCCGAAATTTGATCAACCTTGGTTGGGATGTGGGCATCCTGTGCAGATTGCCATTAGAGCACAATGTAGTATAGAATGGATGGAATATGACTAGCAGGGAAACCCAGGATGCGTGTTCCGTCCTATTCGGGACTTGTCAGTCGGATTTCAGTAACAGACTAATCCAATTCATTTCAAACTGAATTAAAACTCATACCCATTGCACAAGTGGGTGGTTATCTGGATTCAGTAGCTAAGTGGATAACGCAGTGGCGTTTGAGTCCTGAAGTGAGTATTAGCTCTTGGATCCAGTTACATGCAATTGACCAGTCTCAAATAGGAAGAAACGAACGTATTGGTTTCCACTGCTAGACACATTCCATGTATCCTACATAAAACATATTGGTCATACGGTTGAGAGAGTACATAATATCCAATAAGAGTGTTTCGATATCGAGTTAAATACTGACTCTAATTGCATTGTAGCAAAGGGACAAATACTCTCGTTCACTTATTTCTCTCTAGCTCTTTGTTCTAGATTATACTCCCTCTACCTGTTCACAATTTTAATTCCTTATTTGTGCTACGCCTATTTATTTCGGTTTCCAGTTAACCAGTATTTGTGTATATTAGGGGATATAAACTTCACATTTATTGATATAGGAATTTTTGAAAACTGCCAGCTACTCTTCACCAATGATCGCTTGCATGGTCGAAATTATACTTGAAGCCGATCGAGTCTAAAGTCACTGATATGTGATTAGCTATGTAAATAGTTGTAATATTTAATTCTAAAAGAAATTAATGAGCTATGCAACTGAAGTCTGAGAAGGATACACAGCTATGTGTCCAAAGAGTTTACATTAATTCACACTTGTATTAGTTAAGCGTTGTGAACAAATTTTGATTATGACTATATCTTAGTTGCCGATTTTTGAAATAGAATGCTAATCATTTAATAACTTTATTTTGTAATATAGTGAAGTAACAACTTATGTGACGAAGCTATCGGCACAAGTAGCTAATATAAAGATTTGTAACAACAAGCTAAGAAACAGTTTTTTTCTATTAAAATGACATACATATTTATGAAGTACCAAACAGAAGTATTCTTAGTTACAAATAATTTAAAGCGTATTCGTTCTTAAAGCGCGAATTTCGTAGATCACTTGTAAGTCAATAAGTTTAGGACCTAATTAGCAAACTTGATGGTTTTCTTCCACGTTATAAATGGTTAGTAATAAATGTCATTCTCCATCTTTTCGACATCTCGATGTAATCTTACTTAAAAATTTCATCCCGACCGTTGCTGCCACCTTCACGTAGTGGTCGGGCTTGCATATCGTGATAAACCAATCGGGCTATATTGGTTGGAACAATCGTTACTCAAGTTCCTAACATACCGGACAGGTCGATTGGAGAGGAGCAAGACTAAAAGAAGTGAACCTAAGGTCCGAGGGTGAAGTCCTACTGCTGACTCTACAGAGGTGTGATGGCAGTAAGGTGTTTCCCTCAGACAACTAGCATAACAGCGATGCTGCCTTCCTACAATGAAAAGGTTGGATTAGAGAAGGTCGACCCTGAAAATGCACATCTCGCCTCATCCCACGGATATTCGTCTACGACGGTAGGGTCTAGACAAGTACGAAGCTAACATGAAAATTACCCGCAAAAAGGCTGTGTGTGACGGGCCTCAAGAAGTTGTACTATGGGCACCGCGGTCACTATCTCAAGTCACTAAAACCGACTTTAACTCAATTTCTTTTTCGGGCACTTCTAGAAAAACCCTCCCTTGGTGTGTGCAACCGGGAAGTGATAACTGCCCTCATACCTCTAACAGCACTTGAGACCACTATGTTCATAATCGATTTCCCTGACTAAAAATTTAATATTCAGCGATGGAGCTTTAGTGCTAAGTTGTGATTTGTAGTTTATCTGTTTGCAGCGACAACATGTACATACCTGTAGTATCCAATAGATGGGTAGTTTGTAAATAAAAAAAGTAGGTAAACTGCGTTGTGCTCACTGTGAGATCTTGGATTTCTCGTCCCAATACTCTCTACGTGTTTCCAGGTGACGGCTAATGTAGCGTACTTATAACTTTTAACGGTCCCTTTGGTAGTCAATCTTAATTCATATGGTTGTTTTTATTAGATCCCTGAAAATAAATATTGTTTTATTTTGTATATATTAAACTTTCTAATTGCGACTTGAATTTTTTGCTTAATTCTGCTTCTCCTATTTTAGGAAAAACTTAGGATGGGCTTCCACATGTAATACAGTTGGTCAAACATTGGGTCATTTAATTGCGTTTGTCGTCCTCATGTGTTTAGAATCACCAGATATTTCTAATAAGTATATACGATTGACTCCTGTTGAAGGTGAAGGGCTGATTACTTTTTCAGGTTAGATTTAGTTTAATACTTATTTATTTTTATATGACGAATGTTGATGCATATTGATTAATTAGTGTCATACCATTAAAACCATTCTATAAGTTTTATCAACTAAATTAAAGCAATCCTACGATACACATTATTGAACTTGAAGTTTTACTCTATAAATAACTATTCGACCATAAAATTTGCCCATACCAGCCAGATACTTTACGTGAGCAGTTTATAAGTTGTTTTTTAGTGGCTTGGTATCTAACCCAAACTAGATCGTCTGAGTGATTGTTATTAAAATATACATTTCGCCAATCCTCGTATGTAATCATCGAGTTAAGTCGCGTCGGTGAATAAGCGAATCAAATCAGTCAAATACGGAAATGCATTTTTGAATACGTATATTTCGTATAATCGTCTATTGGAAAGCGAAGCAAAACAAAATGACGCTCAATGGAGAAGGGGAGTAAGCCAACTCGATTTAATCAAGTGTGAATCGATATTTATAGTCACAGAAAAATAGGTTACAAACATGTTGTGTAGAATAAGAAATGCACACACGCTCATATAAAAGCGGTCAAGGTTGACAAGGTCAAAATGTGGATCACGAAGAATAAATTAGTCTGTCCAGAAGCTAGAATAAGTTATGTGAGCTTAACATAGTAACCGACACTATAGTTTTATCGCTATGACCTGTTGATTCAAAAAAGTTTAGTGCAAGTTAAGATTTCTTTAAACTAAGATAACCCTACTAACTTATATCTGCTTGATTGCATCACAGATCTCAAAATAGATGCATAGTTTATCGTTATGCTAGTTTGATGAAATTCGATAGTGTGACACATTTGTTTCTTTTGTTAAAACTCGAATGAAAATAATCATCCTGTCGCTTAGATTAGTTGCTTTGATTCAATTTATAAACTCAGTTGTTTTATTTTGATTTTAGTTAATGAGTTTTCATTAAAAAATGATGCATTTTACTTCAAAATTTAACTTCATTCTATTTACCTGGGATCACAGTAAACCGTGCTTATATGTATTGTATTATTTCTTAAAATAGGTTTTCTTTATTTTTGGGGTATTGTATTCCTGGTGGCAACCACACTTGTTGGAGTTTTTAAGAAGGAAGTACCTCATAATCTGTCCGTTATATCATCTGCTCATTCTAATCAACTTGATAATCATTCAAATGGTTCGGTAACCTATTTAAATCAAACAGGAAACATCGAAAGACAGTTATCGTCTAGAAATCGTATCGCACAAACAAATACAATTGATAAACAAATTAGTTGTGAATCCACTCGAAGTCGTTCACGTACTCCCAGTGGTTGGAGTCGTATTATCGAAATTTCTCCCGATGAAGAACTGAATGTAACTGAGTCAAACAAAGAATTGTCATTATTTGATACCTATCGTTTTATGTTAGGTATTTGTAAATTGAAGCCTATTTTACAATACATATTGTTATTATTCATTGCCAAGGTAAGTAATTATATATACATTGGTTTGTATTTGATTTTGTCCCACGAAATTCAAGGTCAACAAATCAAAAAATTTTATCTTGTAGTACTGGTTTCTGTCCTATGTTGAAAAAAGATTTATTTACAATTCTTTTTTCTACGTTAATACTCCATACTAGCTCAACTTACTACACATCACAGCAGTACCGGAAAAAGCATTCCAAATGTCACAAGCAGTTATTATGATCTAGGATTCAGTGTATCTACTATAAACTTTCGTAAATAACGAAAGCGCTCTGTGTCTTCAAAGAAGAGTAAAGACGATTGAGCGAAGAAAATTTTGTTTTTGAAAATTTCACTTACTTAGACTTTATAATCGTATTTATCGATAATTCGTTTGCTAGAAACGACAGTCCGTATTGCAATAGAATGTTAAAAAATTGAATTGGCATCGTGTCGTAAATTGTTTACAAAAATCAGATATTGAAGGAAAGCTATTCAATAATCCAACAGATAATTAAAATTCTTAATAATAAATAATTAATAGTTATGAAAAGTACTGGAAGGAAGTAGAAGAAAAAAATATAGATTGTGATAGAAATGATGGGGTGTGGCCCCCTAAGATAACCACCTGCTTCGGTCTGGGCACCCGGGCAGTATCACAGCCCGCACACACACACAAATATGGTGTGGCGCATATATATTTGGTGCCCTCTTGTATCAATATTTATGTGTTGAAATAATAAGAAATGATGATTAAAGCCATCATAGGATTGAAGGATGGAACATACTGTTTCTATACACAAAGGTTAGTGTTGAATTATTGGATAGTTAGTTATAGCCTCTGCTGTAGATTTGTATGTATGAATGATTTTGAAAAACTGTTCTGGTGAAGCAGAATGTCCAAAATTAACTAGACGTCCCAAAACTGAGCTTTTGATTGACTTTCGTAATCTTTTATATAGCCAGGTAAGATGATGTTAGATGCGCTTTGAACGAGCGGGCAATATAACCTGTTCTATGTGAGCGAGTAAACTGATAACCTAAAGCGGGAGCTTTTCCTTTAGATATGACTTCGATTCCATCACGTACTTAAGTGATTGATATAAATTATCATACGTGTCCATGACGTCGTTAAAACTAATATTTTTGTCACAAATAATAAAAGTATCACCTAAATGTCTTTTTTATGGGAAGAGACTGTCAATTATTAGTTGCAAGATAATGATTTCGAGATTGGCAATAAAAACAGTTAGCTAGAAGTGGACCAAGTGGTAACCATATCGCTACACCCTCGGTCTATCTATAGAACTCATTAAGTTTGAAGCTAACATCTTGCAGCGTTCACACTCTCGGTTGACGAAGTTTTTTAGAGCACTGTAATCATTAGCTTTACCTCCGACTTAACTGAGACACATATCGAATATTAAACAATGATGACTTACTGAATATCTCAGTAATCACTCCACAAATTAATCATCAAATGTACATGCCATAAACGCCAATAGGAATAACTGGAAATCTGTTTTTTATCTGACAAAACTTATAGGACGTCGCTTAAACTCATTTGAGAAACCGTCCATGTAGTAGTTGTTTTTTCACCTTAAGTATCGGGTTTGTAGATATTGCCACTAACACATTTTAAAAATAAATAATTGGGCAACTAATGTTTTTTTTCGCATCTGTACCAAATGTTTAATTTACAAAAACTTAGTATTTCAGACATTAGTTGTCGGTGTACTTTTGCCCGTTTGTGTACATTGTTATTCATGTGATTTTAGACCTAATTCAAGGTATTTATTTGTATTTTTATAATTAGGTTTGCTTCTGTCCTGCAGATGCAATATCTGGACTAAAGCTAATCGAACAAGGTCTACCAAGAGAGAAACTTGTTTTCATTGGGGTCCTACTTTTACCGCTTGAAGTGATTCTACCACTGCTTATTACTCAAGTGACAAATGGACCGAAATTATTAAAATATTATACATGGGCTTTTTTACCTCGGTAGGCTTTTGTTGTGTATAGTCGCTTTTCGAGTGTATCTATGTTATAAAAGCCAAATAAACAGGTTCTTGATTTGCACTAAGGTTCACATGATTGTGCCTTTATTATGAGAATATGTGTATTTTCTAGTTCTACCTCCAGAACAACCCTTCCACGGTGTGGGCAACCGGGAGGTGATAACCGCCCTCATACCTCTAACAGCACTCAAGACCACTGTATTCATAATCAACCTTCCTCTTCAATTCCTATTATTCCTCCTACATCGACTTTCAACCCTAAACTTCCTCCTTCGGCTTCCACCTCAAGTGTCACCATAGCCAACGATTCTAGTGCGCAAAACACTGTCCCAGGTCTACTGAAACCTCGCTCCAAACTACACATTGGAGCCTTCAACGTACGCACCCTATGTCAAATCGGTCAGCAGGCTTCCTTGGCTAAAACCCTAGAGTCTCTTTCCATTGATGTATGCTGTGTCTCCGAAACACGCATACAGGATTCCAGTGTGGTCATTCACTTGACCTCACCTCGGCAAACGGAGAGCCAACGAGATACACCCTTCGTGTATCTGGTGACCCGATGGCAGTTCTCGTGGACTGGCAGGTGTAGGCATAGCACTAAGCATGAGGGCGGAACAAGCACTGCTAGAGTGGATCCCCGTCAACAGTCGTCTATGTGCTGTTCGGCTGAACGGCTACGTAAGAACTCGGAAGGATAGGGACACACGTCGTTGCCTTTTTGTCGTTTCTGCCTACGCTCCCACTGACTGCAGCTCAGATGAAGTGAAAGATGAATTTTACAGAAAGCTTCCGAACTTCTTCAGAAAGCTAAACGCTCAGACATAGTACTCGTAGCAGGTGATTTTAATGCTCAGATAGGCAGTTTAAACCAAACAGAAAGGCATTTAGGTGGATATTTTAGTATTCCGACACAGCGAACAGATAATGGTGATCGTCTGCTGCAGCTATGCTCAGACAATCGTTTATTTTTAGCAAACACAAATTTTAAGCATAAGGAGAGACATCGTCTAACATGGCGACCCCCTACACCAAACCAACGATGGACTCAAATAGACCATATTGCCATCAGTCATCGTTGGAGAGGGTCGGTAGAAGATTGTCGCTCATTCTGGAGTACCTGCTTGGACTCCGACCATGCCCTAATACGGGCACGCATCTGCTTGCGCCTCACTGGACGCAAAAAAGCCACATTAAAAAGACCCATTAGAACTGAGTTGAGTAACGAGAAAACCAAAAGTAGGTTCCAGGAACAACTGAGGTCACACTTAGGTAGTTGTGAAGACGAGGCTGACCCAGATGTTGCTTGGAAGGACATACAATCAGCTGTGGAAACAGCAGTGACATCTATTAGTGACTTAAACCACAGAGTTACAAGGAACCAGTGGATTTCTTCAAGGTCTGTCACACTGATGGATTCTCGCAAACTCGTCCCATCAGGTTCTGAACATGATGAAGAGCGTAAACAAATCAGATCTAGGTTAAGAAAAAGTCTAAGGAACGACCGTGAGCAGTGGTGGGTAACGAAAGCAAAAGAGATGGAAAAGGCGGCGACTATAGGGAACACAAGACAGCTTTACAGACTAATAAAAGAAACTGGAATTAATAAGTCAAGTGTAAGTGAGATTATTTCGGAAAAAGACGATACTCTCATCTGCTCCCAGTCCAGACGTTTAGAACGATGGGCGGAACATTTTAGAGAACAGTTCAGCTGGCCTTCAGCTACTCTACAACTACCCTCCATTCCCAGACAGTGTGAATGGAACATTGAAGTAGGTCCCCCAACTCTTGCTGAAGTTCAAAAGGCTATAGTTAATCTGAAACGAGGAAGGGCAGCTGGTCCAGATGGATTGGCTCCAGAGGTCTTTAAGGATGGTGGTCCAATTTTAGCGATTAGGTTGACTAATATTTTAGCTAAGATCTGGGAGTTAGACGTTATCCCATCTGACTGGTCGCAATCACTTATCGTCCCAATATATAAGAAAGGGTCAAAATCATCCTGTGACAACCACAGAGGGATTAGTTTAACAAATATAGTATCTAAAATACTGGCCTCGATAATTATCAGACGCCTAACTAAGACTCGTGAACTACAAACACGAGAGAACCAAGCTGGCTTTAGACCTGGTCGTGGCTGCATCGACCACATATTCACCATTCGTCAGGTTCTAGAACACAGGCATACTTATCGGCGTCCGACGATGGTGGTCTTTCTTGACTTAAAAGCAGCATTTGACTCTGTAGACCGCGAGATTCTGTGGCAGTGTCTGTCATTGAAAGGCGTACCTCAGAAGTACATAAACCTTGTGAAGGCTCTTTACTCGAACACTACTAGTCGAGTCAGGCTTATGGCGAACTGTCATCTACTTTTGCAACCTCAAGTGGTGTCCGTCAAGGCTGTCCACTTTCTCCATTTTTGTTTAACTTCATCATAGACCTATTGATGGAAATAACACTCTCGTCGACTGAATTCTCGGGTATTGATCTCCTTCCAGGAGGTCCACTTATCGACTTAGAATACGCAGATGACATAGTCCTGTTTGGTGAAGACGCTGACAAAATGCAGAGTCTTCTGGTAGCACTAAGCAACAATGCCAGAATGTTTGGAATGCGCTTCTCTCCCTCTAAATGCAAGTTGTTGCTTCAGGACTGGTCTGCGTCAACACCTGAACTAAGGATAGGGAGTGAAGTAGTCGAACGCGTTGACAACTTCACTTATCTTGGAAGTCTGATCAGCCCTAATGGGTTGGTGTCTGACGAAATCTCAGCACGGATTCGAAAAGCTCGTTTGGCTTTTGCCAACTTACGTCACCTTTGGCGGAGGCGAGATATCCGTCTATCAATAAAAGGACGAGTATACTGCGCGGCAGTCCGTTCTGTTTTAATTTACGGCAGCGAAACATGGCCTTAAGAGTAGAAGACACCGTAAGCTACTAGTATTTGACCACAGATGCCTTAGAAATATTGCTGGCATCTGCTGGGATCACCGGGTAAGTAATAGTGAGGTTAGACGCAGGGTATTAGGGAATGATGGTAAATCAGTTGATGAGGTTATGAATCTTCATCGACTGAGATGGTTGGGCCACGTGTTACGTATGCCTGAACACCGATTACCACGACGTGCAATGCTAACCGGTGTTGGGATGGTTGGAAGAAAGTTAGGGGCGGCCAAACCAAAACGTGGCATCAGTGCTTGAAGTCACTAACTTCTAGTCTGAGCCATGTTGGTAGATGCAGACTACTTGGTTGGGGTCCGCGTGACTTTCGTAACCAATGGTTGGAGACTCTTGGTGACATGGCTCAGAATCGATCACAATGGCGTCGGTGTATACACTCTCTGTCTTCCTTAAACTAAGAGATTAAAATCACTTCATATCTTTCTTTCTACGAACTAATTCTTTCTTCCTATACTATATCCTTATTGCAATCTTTCTTTTATATATTACCACCTCTGAATTAACTACTTTTATGAATCCGGTGTCCATCTTGTTGTGTTAACGAGGTATGGCAACTTGAACCGATTCATATATGTGCCTGGTCCTACGTTGTAGCTGACTGACGCCACTCAATCACGAGGGATGCGAAACCGAAGCAATGGGGAAACAAGTAATTAATGATAACTCTGGAGCATTAAAACATACGACAAAGGTTTATGGGTCGAAAAAACTCTTGCAAACAGCAGGGTGCCAAAAATATTTGAGCAGAACAGCATGAATTTACTGTATGTTGTTTGTTTCTCTTCAGCTGCTTACAACCTGTAATATTTCAAAGATCAGATTACTGACATTAAAGAGTTAAGAGGGAAATTGCTCTGATCACACATTAGTATAGCACAGTAAGGCTATCAGTAAATTTAATAGATTAAATAGAATATCGTAAATACATATTTTATGTGAAAGAACATTCTACAACGGTGATAGTAACAAACGTTCATTGGGCTAGAAACAAGTGGTTACATAATGAATAAACGCCTGATAATAAGCAAGAATAAAGTGGGTAAAGCTCAATTTGTTACCATAAGGTTACCATCCTAGAAATCAAAATAAAAAGACGTGATGATATCATTAATGGGGAAAAAAGAATTCAAGAAATCTCATGATGCAGTGAAAAAATGTCATCAAGGTAAAGAAAGAATAACAACCATCTTTTTAACACATACATCAAGTTTCTGACGCCTGATAGCGACGGCTCCAGCAAATTTCATAGGACTAGGGCTTGGGTGTTTGTTAATCGACCTAAAAGATTAAAAATTACCGACCCAATGTCCTGTATCCAGGATATGTTTAGTAATTTGCCCTGTTTAAAGTACTTCTTTCTCTTGTTCAAGGGCTTTTTGAAACATGTTTAGAAAATCAAACTACACCCTGTTCGGCTAATCCGGCTGCTTTGTCAAGTACATACAAACTTATAAACATGGTTATTGGTAAAATGAAAGGGATACTTGTCAACATTTGATCAGATTATTGAACATGTTCTTTTATACAAAATTAATAGGTCTAAGCAGCTGACGTGAATCAAACAAAATAAAATGAATTTATGTTATTGTACTCAAATGTTTGTTCTTACTCTCTTAAAGATGACAAAATGAACCATGTATATGAAACAGGAGAGTATAAGAATACAAACATTCAAGGATGTTTTACATTAAAAATATAGGCAGTTATTTCCTGTATAATGGGTACAAAATTCAATCTCCTCTATATGATAATCTATAAACAACAGCATTATTATTATTATCTCACTAAAATCTGAGAACCATACTGTAAATACTCCATTAGCAAAATGACCATCAATCGTCTCCGACTTACTTGTTCCTTCTTTTCCATATCAATCACTCTCTGTCCTCGTTCTCTTCCCGTCAATCTTCTCAACCTTCTGCCTCCAGCCATTCCACTTTCGATTGGTGATACATACTACTTATGTGTCGACATCAGTAGCGCACACCACACTATATATTGTTTATCATTAGCTAGAATAGTGAATATTACTTCATTGACTATTTTATATGTATATAGGTTTACGATATCAAATATCACGACGAATGCATTTTTAACTTTTGGAATTGTGAAGATCTACAAAATCAAATAAATATTGAAAGTTACTTGTACTGGTTGATTTATTTTATACAGCAGTGGGTTTTAAATGGACAAATTTGATTGCTACTAGGTATCCTTCCTGCTAAGGATTGTGATAGCGGAAAATATAATAACCACTACAATTTTTCTGCTTAAAGCTTACAGTATTTAGATGTCTTTTTAAAATAGGTGAATACATTGTACGACTGATTTACGTAAATAGCCTAAAGTAATCTGAAATGGGAAATGCTACTGTGGTATTTTACAGCTAAAAAAATAAGTGACCCGCCTCATGTTTGAAAACGTCATCAAATCAAGCATTGAATATGATTTAGAAACAAGTGAATGGATATCTGAAGCAGAGATCTCTCAGTAACAATCCTGTAGTATTTTTCTCTGCCCTACTTGTGCTATTTTAGCCATAGCCTTGCATCCTAAGCCTTAACCAGTGATACGCCTCGACTGGTACAACTGACCTTGAATCGATTCCAGAATAATGTTAACTGTTATTGGTCCTTTGGTATATTTGCCTTCTATCTCCAGTTGAGTCCAAATAAAAAAACGGAGCAGGCAAGCTTCTATTACTATATTCTAACCACCTAGTATATATATGAATTATCGGACTGCAACGGATCCCATATATGTGATCATATTTTACACAATCATCATACAAGTGACAGAATGTAACAAACGGCACATAATTATTTGAAAATGACTAAGGAATAATAATCCGTATAACAATAGTTTATATAGCCAACGGAAGCTTACAACACAGCGATTGTAGAGATATAATAGTCCAATTATGTAATAATTATATAGTAGAGGCATAAACAATAATAATCCGTAAAATAGTCCCAAAATTTCCAGCTTCCTCAATGCTTACCCCGATACAACAGAATAACTGTGCTCTATACTGTTTTTTATCTACATAAGTTTAAGCAACTGCTTAGTATTTTATAACCCTTGTACATGAGCCGTATACTTGATTTACTCATAACTATTATTTTCTAGTTGTTAAAAGCGTTCTCTTACAGTTTACTTCTAGCAACATTATCTGTTCCATTGATTTATTTTGCACCGTACTTTAAAATTTCAAATCAAATCCATTCAATCATTCGTAATAATCATACATTAGAAGAGTCAGCTCCCATCCTTGAATCAACTACAACTCATACATCATTCTCATGGCTTTTCTATGGTATCATGATTTGTCATTTGGCTATTTATTCAGTATTCTCTACTGTGATGTTTATTACTCAAGTATCATTTCATGCAAAAATAAGTGATCCAGCTATAGGTGGAACTTATATGACGTTGTTAAATACTGCGGCTAACTTAGGTTAGTTTATTAATACTTTTATGTCTGTTTTTTCCTCAATAATCCATTAAATCATGATAATTGCAATATTTTTTCTACAAATATCCTTTCATATTGTTCAGAATGTCTGCATGACTTTTACTGGGTTGGAATAAAATGGAAAGATCGATATTACTACTGTTATCATTTATGTATATGATTATGGCTTAGTCCTGTGAAGACTGCTACTGATTTATTGGTTTGAATCTATTTTTACTCGTTTTAGTTTGAGCTGTTGGGTTGTATTTTTTACTCTTCCTGAATGATTACAGGTTGTTTTAGATCACGAGTTAACTTTAGACAGACAAATATTGAATATCAGGAAGCACTAGAAAGCTATATCATCCTACTGTAGGACTCAGTAGCAAAGTATTTTGATGATCCATATATGAGAAGGTTTTCAAGGTCCGTTATGTCTTAATTTAGTATTACTTTTATGAAGACTAGAGAAAATCAGGCTGGTTTTCGACCTGGACGTGGTTGTATAGACCACATATTCACACTACGTCAGGTTCTAGAACACAGACACACGTTCAGACGCCCCACAATGGTAGTATTTCTCGACCTGAAGGCGGCATTCGACTCTGTTGATCGTGAGGTTCTATGGCAGTGTTTGTCACTGAAAGGAGTACCAAAGAAGTACATTAACCTTATAAAGGCTCTCTACTCGAACACAACTGGTAGAGTGAGAGCTTATGGCGAACTGTCATCAGAATTGATTACCTCAAGTGGTGTTCGTCAGGGCTGTCCACTCTCCCCATTCTTGTTCAACTTTGTCATTGACGTACTTTTAGAGATAACACTCTCCTCATCTAAATTTACAGGGATTGAACTTCTACCGGGAGGTTCACTTCTTGATTTAGAATATGCTGATGACATAGTTTTATTTGGTGAAGACGCTGACAAAATGCAGTCTTCTGACCACTCTAATCAACAATGCAAGCATGTTCGGGATGCGATTCTCTCTCTCGAAATAGAAAATGTTGCTTCAGGATTGGGTTACATTGACACCCGAACTAGTCATAGGGAGTGAAGTAGTTGAGTGTGTCGACCGCTTCACTTATCTTGGAAGTCTCATCAGCCTTGTGGTCTGGTGTGTGACGAAATCTCAGCACGGATACAGAAAACTCGACTAGCTTTCGCCAACTTGCGTCATTTATGGCGTAGGCGAGACATCCGTCTATCAACCAAAGGACGGGTTTACTGCGCAGCAGTTCGTTCCGTCCTACTTTATGGCAGTGAAACATGGCCGGTAAGATTAGAGGATATTCGTAGGTTACTAATATTGCTCGTATATCCTGGGACTATCGAGTAAGTAACGCAATTGTTAGGAAACGATAACTAGGTAAGGATGGCAAATCGATTGATGAAGTAGTGAACTTCATCAGTTGAGATGGCTGGGACACGTGTTACGTATGCCCAACGACCGACTACCTCGACTTGCTATGTTTTACGGTGTAGGAGTAGGTTGGAAGAAAGCTGGGGGCGGCCAGACCAAAACATGGCACAAGTCCATGAAGTCACTGACAAGTGAACTGAGTCATGTTGGTAGGTGTGGACTACCTGGTTGGGGACCTCGAGATGATAGCAACCGATGGTTAGAGACCTTGGATGACATGGCTCAAAATCGTTTGCAATGGCGCAGGTGCATACACTCTTTGTGTTCTCCCAAATTCTAATCTCCTGATTCCTCGTTGTCTCTTTTTTCTCTTTCCAACTTTATTTCACTGGACTATGCTCTTTAAATAACATCTCTAAACCCTAATCTTTCCGATTACTGCTTATACTCTTACTACCTCTACCACTACGGAATTTGAGTCGACAAGTGCATCTCTGTGCTAATGTGGTATGGCAACTCGAACTGATGTACGTACGTACGAAGTTCTACGTTGTTACTGACTGACTGACTGACTGACTTTATGAATTTTTAATGGATTACAGAAGCCCCTTATTTGTAATAATCAGGATTGAGTTTCTTTCTGAGCGGAGAACGTTTATACCTTATTCAAATTCTAACCAAAAAGTTGTGAAATACTACTTAGTGGATAAGTCTATCATTTTTTGTAACTTTTTTATTTTCATATAAATATACACATGTGAATATGTCTCTTAAGATTACTTATACCAGTAAATATTATAGTGCTTTGACGATCTACGAAGGCGATTGTGTCTGCCTAAGTCAGTCTGAATAGTCGGTTTTGACTCCTTCATTCATCTGCTTGTATATTTCATGACTTAGTAGACGAATATTTCTCAGAGATATCCTTGGTGTGTATCATATTAAATCATTCATGTTACACAAACTAATCTTCACTATAAAACTTATCCATACTATTCTCTACTAAATAAAACATTTGTTGTTAACTGTTTTCAATTCATAGCTACAAGTTTGCCGAATACTCTCTTTTTATCACTCGTCGAACCACTTACTCTACGAAAATGCTCTGGAGCTGATTTACTAAAAGCTGGGTTATTATCTTTACGAACTAATTCTATTCAATCTGTTAAAACAATGAATATAACTCATCCTATACAATATTCAAAAGATGAGATTTATAGAAATGGACAGTTATGGTTGGCTAATAATGCTACCTGTGAGAATTCTAAAACTATTCAGGCAAGTAGTATTGTATGATGAGCTATAAGAAATGGCTTTAAGTTTTGCTTTATTATTCCTTAAATTTAAATAGTAATTCTTTTTGAGAAAATCATCAAAACAAGAGTAATTTTGATACTGGGTTTTAAAATTGATCTCAGTGTAAAGTGTGGTCGATAACGAACCCATCAATGACAGCATGAAACGCTCACCAACCACATTAACTCTCTTTGACCTTGTACGACTATGTTTATCATAAACGATATTAGGTTTTAATGTCTAACTTCAACCGATCCACGATATTGCACCACCGTTATCCCATTGTCTGTTTTCGGTTTTCTAATTTTGTTGTGTTCAAGGTCACTAAGCGTTACTACGTGAACAGAGTTATTCTGTTTCAATTTGACTGCTGTTCGGAATATGAAGCTGTCCTGAAAGTCCTGTCTTCCTATTGTCTTTTAAATTATCGGTGTTGAAGTGTTGTTGTGTCTTAGACATTCGGTTTATCCGAGTTCCCATCCGTTCACGTTCATATTAGATGATTCCCAACTGTCTAAAATTAGGAACTATCCTGATCCTTAATCATAATTACATCTGAACTATCTTTTGATATAATTTTAACTCACTACAAATGTCATTTTAAAAAATTACGCGGGTTAATCAAATTATAGTTTCTCTGGTTCTTTGTTTTGTTAACAGGCTTGTCTTGATATCAGTGGAACATGTTCAAAATTACTGGACGGTTTCTACGTTGAAGTTGGATTATGTTTGCTTTTCGGACTGGTTACATTCCCAACAATAGTACTTCCTTATGCTAATCATCTTGACACTCAACCTAATGAAGCGTTTACTTTTCGTCCTTCATCGTCACTAGACAGACATCAAAGTAGAAGTGATAATAATGAGACAAAAAAAACTAGAAAGGATTGAAAGAAAGTTTCGGAACTAAAGTATAATTTGTTTACCCTTTTGTGAATATAATTCCCTTGTTGCACTGTTTCCTTGTTTGTTATTTTGCCCATTCTTGTTACATACATTTATGTGGATGTTATTTTACTTTTCACTTTCTATGTGAATGTTTTTCCACGAAGTATTCATCGCTGTGAATTCGCTTCTGTCTGAGATGTAGATTTATAACTCATATACACACGCACGCATACTCACATGTCTGTCCTATCCTGCCCTTTCTACACAATGACACTGACGACGATACTGGTAGTGTGATATTTAATTAGGCATAAAATGTTGAAGTTCATTATTACATCTTAATTATTTTGTGTTATGCGTATACAGAAATGTAATTTTAAATTTCACGTTGTAGATTGTTATCTATTTCATAATATTACTTCTATTATTTTTGTTATTTACATGTGTAAATTCTTTATACGTGGGTGTTGATAACCGAATGGAAAAAATAAATTATACAAAAAATCCGTTCATTTTCATTTGCTTAGTATCATTTCAATTTTAACTTGTTCAATTAGCAACATACAAGCACGAAAAAGTATTATTGTACATTAATATAATTTCACAGAAAGTTTATGGGGGTTACATTACAAAGTAAGTTTAGTTAGCCAACCATGGGAAATCAAAGCTCACTAGTCAGATGGTTCTTTCTAGTATTATTATTATTCCACTTAAATTACATAACTTCTCTTAGACAATTCATACGCGAGCATTGTTTATATTGACAGAAGCATATGCAGTCTGTCATGTTCTTTTTGTTATTTCGAAAACGGAAAAGGGTAGAGAAATCCTTCCATGATAATGTTCATGTCGATTCATTTTCAGTTGGTCCTGATTAACACGTATTTAAGTTATCCTGCGCTTTATTCTCAGCTCACGAAAATTAGTCACTTTCTCTTAGTTTTAATTTTTCTGTCTCCATAATACAAATGTCTGAATTGGTAGTAGATTCCTGATTTAGAAGTCTTTATGATGAACTGAGTACTCACGCTCTTAAACCATTAAATAGTCAAAGTTGGAGTGAAGCCAAACTGTTGGATACGGGGTATCAAAGATACATACTAACTTCTCGACATTTAAAATCACTAAAGGAATCTCGGTTGCGAAATGTGGCCATTAAGAATAGAAGCTACCCGTAAGGTACTAGTATTTGACCACAGATACCTTAGAAATATTACTCGTATCTCCTGGGATCACCGGGCAAGTAATAGTGAGGTTAGACACAGGGTATCTGTTATAACTTGTGACTGCAAGATTATGGAGCAGCGTATTATCGATCGGACCAAAGACGCGTCAACACGTAAGGACGGTCTAGAGTTCTGATTGGTCCCGCTTCCCTGTCTAGCCCAGCCAGTTGAGTCCAGAACGCAAGTCTCAGCCTCAGCGATATGAATCATTATATTTCAGACATACTCTGTTTATATACCAATCAAACAGACCACATCGTACCACAAAATAGAAAACAATATTTGACAAGTGAAATAAATGTTGACCAATAGGAAATGCCCATTTAAAGTCCAAGGACGCCATTAGACTTAACAGGATAATTATTGAAATATTTTTCTGAATATCCCAACAGTATCAGGGAATGATGGTAAATCAGTTGATGAGGTTGTAAATCTCCGACTGAGATGGTTGGGCCGCGTGTTACGTATGCCTGATTGATTTGAAGGACTTAGTGTCATCTGATGATAACTTTGTCATTTTTTCGACATAGATCTCTCAGTCTAATAGCACTAGACACCCACCTTTATTTGAGCACGTTATAAACAAGCCCCTGTTGTTTCTAAATGGTTTTAGTTGATTTCTATGCTCTTTTGTTAAAGGAATTTTACCTGTTGCAGCTGTCGATAAGAATGAATTTAAAACGTTGGAATTCCTGGTTAGAAACTAAACTAAGACCATTTGTCTGTTTGGTTAAATTTTCGAATCGATCATGCGTGTGAATTGTGTTAATTGTTTCATTTGTCACAGAATTTTATCCCTAAAGATAAGGGTTCTAGTTGTACATTTGTTAAGGATACTGAAGAATAACTAAACACATATCTCTCAGGATTTAGTCGGAAATTTATGTCGTGCTTCTGTGGTTTTTAAACTTTTAGTGAGATCCGATATTAATTTTTTATACTGTAGTAACTTATTCGGTGAAAATATGTTGTTCATCAGGTGATAACTCATATAGTACAGGAGATCTTTGTGAAATTTGAATTCTGATAGCGAGATGTGTGAACGAATAGAATCGATATTATTTTTTACATGGCGTTTAAGAGTAAAGTAAAGCTCCTAACCGAAACATTCAAGAAAACTGGCTATCCATAAGCCGATGTAAAATCTGCAAAATGATGAGACTTACTACTCTTCTGGCACCTACGTAACTTATCCATATTATTCAAAGTGGTCTTATATCGAAGTGAAGTTAAGCCAGCAATAGGTAGGGCTTCACACAGCCCAACTCATACTTATCGAGGTTGACGTTTTACCAAAATACATGTTAACGAGTGTGCCACATCCCACCTCATCTGTCAGTTTACATGCATGTGCAGACACACATACATAGGGAAGAGCAATTGTGGTACTCATGTCAGGGTGATTGGACAAATTAATTCCAATGGTTGAACAAGAGCACACAAGATAGAAAATCATCTTTCTCCGTTATGAAAATTTAGTGCGAACGCGTTATGTTGTTGATATCAAATCAGTCTTTGTAGTGTTGTATAAGTGCTCAGGGGTGCATACTAAGATCTAATGGAGCCCCTAGGCGAAATTCAAACCCCCTTTATGTGCTCAGAAATATCATGTTCTCACCTTGTACCTAACCTGATGATATTGGTTTATTATTGATTGTGGTGTGATAACATTGTTTTTCTTATGTTTGACTAATTTGACCTTTAATTTTTCGTAAATAAATGTCTTAATAAGTATGTGCGGTTAAATTGTTCACAATGTATTACACAAATATGCATCACATAGTTCTGATAAACTTCGCCCTTTCGTTGTACCATTCAAATAATACAGTTAGAAATTAAATCAAAAAATATAAACAAAACCAATATGGGGGTCATTAGTACCATGGTAAACAAAGGGTTTGGTCACACGTATCTGGGTATAAAAAGCAGGGTTGGAATCATGGACTCCCATAGTACAGAAAAGTCAATAGATTGATTGTTGAACGTCTGGTCAATTGTGGTCATCTACCTCCACCAGAATCTTCATCCAAAATTATTTTTAAACATAATTTTCTGAAGTGAAATGTAAAATTACTGTCTAGTTGAACTTTGTTTTCAGTTAATATTATATCTTCGCCTTGTTAATAATGGCTATTACGTCGATGAAAAACACCTTAATTTATTTGCTAACGGCATTTATGTTAAGCAAACAACTTAAACCATGTCAACTAACTGTTACTTGATCACGCCCTTCAATCAATATGTTTTTATTTGTACATGTAAATGACTATACCCACATTCATGTGAGTCATCAAACAAGGGGGCCAATTTTGTATAGAACAAAGTTGTTCATAGTTGGAACTTATTAATTATGGTTATTACCTTCGTAATCATTTTAAGTTATTTGGCATTCCAAAAAAAAATTACTTTGAATTATGAAAAGTAGATCATTAATAAATTTCTAAAATTATATTGTTTCACTTTCTGAGTTAACTTCTCAACATCCATTTAATTAACCAGTGACAATAGTTTAAGTTGTGATCCTCCTTCAAATAACTAACCGGAAGAGAGTTTTACAGTAATAGTTCTTCTTGAAGATTGATTAGTATATAGATGATTGTTTAGTTGATTTCTTTATCCAATGCTACATGGACTTATTAATCAGTATTTTAATTATCAATTAAACTGATAAAAAAACGTCAAATTTACACTTGTTTAGTTTGGCAGTTATTTTATACTGTTTTTAATGTTTTATAACCCGCTTTCCTTTATATTTATTTATAAATAAATGTCCCCTAAGATTAATATTATCTGCCAAGTTTTAAGACTCTACGATGCCTGTCATCATAGCAGCTAGTGCTTCAATTCATAGTGGAAGCGCAGTTATATCACGCTTATTCAACGACGAGGAAGGGAAAGTAATCAGGTCTGCTTGATGAACACTGTCTCCAGCAGAGAGAAAATACAGCTAGATAGGTGAGACAACTACTCTGGTCTTTGCAGTCCGCCAGTTTACAAGTTTATTTCTGATCAAAGATCTATTCTACTAACAGATCATAAGCCGGAGTTTCAATATTCCTGCACACACGTCCAATCTGCTAGAGCGTTGGGGACTGATCTCTTTAGGTTATGACTTTGAGATTCAGTATCAAGGCAAACAACGCTTCAAACAAGTAGTTACCCATTCAGAGATTAGTTTACTGAGGAGGGAAAACTCATGACTGCGCTTTTCACAGAAGAATACTTAATGTCATTTGTTTAACTCTGTACGGGTTCACCAATGTCATTTATAGAAATTCAATATACAGTGAGTACTGATCCAGTAATTCAGACAAATGCTTAATGTTTTAAGAGAACGGATATTACTCTATATATCACTTCACCCCAACATTCTGTGTGATAACAGGAGAACAAAATTATTTTCTTTTGCCTCTATATATTACTATTATACGTTAATACGATCGGTGACCACGATTAAACTACCACTAGACTAGACACGATCGATGTGCTATACACGAACGGGGATGACATTATATCAGATACACAATTCAAGAATAAATATAGAGAATCAGAGTATAAGCTAGACAGTACTTTATTCAACACGAGTAGAATTATATATATACTTAAATAAACTTGAATATAATTATAATAAATTCTATGTTCACTGTCAATTAAAGTTTCTATACAAACCGAAACCTCTCACTCTAGTTAGCAACTCGGTAAGAATAAGGCAGAAGTAGCCTCCTTCATCGTTTTGAAGTGAAAGTTGTAAATAAATAACTTGGCGCACAAGCTAAT